CCCCAAAACCCCAAAACCCCAAAACCCCAAAACCCCTTAATCATCAACGAATATTGAAAATTAAATTTTTAACTTTGCAACTGATCAATAATGGAACCGCCTAAACAATACTATTCGATTGATAGTAAGAAGAACAAGGCATTACAGAAATTTTATAAAAGAAAGTCTTCCTCAAGCTCTGAGGAAGAAAAGGAGAGCTCTGAGGGTCAAACTCGCCCTCGTTTATACAGCCATGATACTTCTGATTACAACGAGAATTATAACGACATGGTACGGGAAAACCAGCCACCAAAGGCTACTCAAAAATCGAAAGGTAACAATGGCTTGTTTGGTACATTCAAAAGAGAAGAGGTCAAATCGATTTTTCCTCGTGAAAGAGTCGACTGGAAAAAGTTCTTATCTAGCGAACAGAATCCCTTTGAGACAGACTCAGAATATGAGCCTGAATGAGACTGCTTGGAGCAGCTGGACTGTGCTTTCCATGGCCATATCAATACTTGTCCACAAGTCCAGAAAACCAAGAAATAAAAAGTTATTGTTATAAGCAAATAGAGTCTCTTTTGAGAACATAGATCGCCTAGTTTCGTCTTTTAAGGTGATGTCTCTTAATAAGAGACCTAGGAAAAGCTACTCTATGTTCAAAAGCCAAGCGGATGGCAATAAGAAGTTTTATCCAACTTTCAGTGAAAGTGAGCTGAAGTTTTGCAATAAAATTCATAAAAGTCTCCAAGACCCCTCTAGGAGCCCGACCAGTACTAGAAATGATGACTTTATGGCTCTTGAAGAGGAAGATAACCAAAGCGAAGATGAAATAATCGAGGAGGGAATTGATATTCTTATTAATGATCTTAATAAGATCCTTTGGGACAAGATACATGATCCCCATTTTCGGCTGTAAAGGAAACCTCTTTTACACCTACCTAACTTTCCGTAACCTAAAATTAGACCTTAGTTTGGCTGTAGAGGTGCATTATCAGTGAAGTTTAGTTGCGTAATTATCAGAATTATTCAATAGCTCTAAAACAGAGGGGTTTTGGGGTTTTGGGGTTTTGGGGTTTTGGGG